AGCTCACACACACATGGCACATGACTTACTCCGGATTGATTTATCAAGACATTCTCTTTTGAGTGTTCAAGTCAGCTACAAACATACAACTTTAAGGCACTTTAGCAAGATTCAACCATTGAGACTAGGCGTTACACTCTACTGTCGATTGTGTTCAGGTGTGCTAACGCCAAGGGATTCTCTTTCTATTTAAGCTCTTAGCCCATCGATGCTAATTAAAACTACAAAAAAATAAAATAAACAAAAACTACCTACACCCGGTTCAAGCTAAACCCTTGGAAAAGAACCGTGGCCCAAAGAAAAACCAAGGGGGAGTTACTACACTACCTAATAAATAAAAAAACTTTTTTTTCCGACTTAGTCCCTCAAGAACCCCGCCGAAAGAGATCCGTCGTCGGGACAAGTCACTTACCTACTTTAACTTACCTAATGAACTATTACTCAAAACACCAAAAAACAATTAAAGCAAAATAACAAAAAAAAAAGAAAAAAAAATCAAATAGTCAAATTGTTACAAATACATACATACATTGAAGTATCCCCCACCCCACACTTAAAATGTAGACATGTCCTCATGGCATAAAAAATTAAAGAACAGTGAGGTAAAGGAACTTCCCTGAAAGATCACTCCTGATCGGAGACGGTGTCTTGGTTCACATTGCAAGCACGACCCAGAGCTCTCAGCCAGCCTAAGAATTTCTTTTTCGATTTACCTGCCTGTCGGCCATCGCGTCTACGCGGGCACCCAAATCAGTGACTGAGGTACGCAACCCAGCCATCTCCTGCTCCAAAGCTGATAGGCAGGTACTACGGCGGGGCTGTGATGGGCTTGCCTCTTCAACTCTCGTAGGTGGTGGGACCTCAGCTGCCTCAGCATCTTTATCATCAGCGTCATCATCCGAGTCATCAACATTCACCACCGGCTCTATCCCAATTCTGATTTTTCTTGCTAGGAACGGGGCTTTCAGTGGTAATTTCCCATCAACTCTAAGGTCTTCAGGGACTCTAGCAAGACGACACAGCCTGGTGACTAGAGAAGGGAAGTAGAAGCCCCTGAGTAACTCAGGTGATCTAATGAGCATCTCGTCATGGAGGAGCCTGGCCACATCAAAATCCCTGTGGGCCATGAAACAGTAGACTGCTGACGCCCGTGGTAGATTAACATCGGTCGTATTGCTAGAGGGCAACAGCCGATTGTTGATAACGGTGAGCCAACACTTAGCCTCCCAATTGAGAGACTGGGAGTTGAGTGTGATCCCGTGCTTTATCCATATGTATTCTCGGTCTGGCACACAAATAGTCTCAAGAAGAGTTCCCCACAAGGCACTTGTTCGGCTAAAAATACGATAATCATCAGCTTCTCTCCTGAACACTGGCAGCCGGTACACCCTGCGGATGGCCTCGATGGACGCATTTACCCGTGTATTACATACAGTAACAACTCCATTCTCATGTTCCGGGCAGTTAGCATAAAACTCCCGTACCATCCGAACATTGGCCACCTCTGGTTTCTCAAAAAAGATGTCCAGCTGACACCTCCTCAACTCATTGAACATATTCGGGCATTCCATCTCTAAGGATTATCGGTCAATATGCACCTCATGTAGCAATTTCTTAGCTGCCTTTGCATTATACCGGTCCTCCGCCAGCTTGGAGACAAACCTAGTGTTGTCAAACTGGGGCACACTTGCTTGCCCCTAGCTCTCGAGGAGCTTCCGGTCCACTCGCAGAGGATCCGGTGTTGCGACTCTTCCTAGATGAATTCATTTTACCTGGCAAACAGAGAAACGCCTATTAGAGAGTGTGTGAAATGTGTGACTATGGTTGGTTACTCAGACTTCACCACAACCATGTCACATTAGCCCTTATAACTCCATTGGGGCAATTTCCCAAACACCTTGTGGGCAAGGCACTATCCTAACACATATAGCCCTCATGGGTAGATCAAAACTTCCCCCAAATCAAAGATACTACTACATCATCACACCCCACAATACTTCCTTCAATCACCCACCAACATACACCTCTCCACCACATTAAACACACAGCCCCTTCACCAATCAGTCTAAAAAACAAAATTCAAAAGAAAAACAACCAACAATTACAACACCATTACAACATTAAACTAGCATAAACTACAACAAAATACAAAAAGAAAAGAGAGGGTAGAGATGAGTAGCATACCTTAATGGAGGAAGGTGTGGGAGGAATGGAGATGGGGGGGGGGGGGGGGGGTAGTATGAGTGAAGAAGAAGAAGAAGAGTGGAGAGAGTCGTTGCTTTAGGGTTAGAGAGAGAAAAGGAATTGGGGAAATAAGGGGTGGGTCGGGTGTTTTGGATGGTTAAGAAGGGGAGGGGGTTTGGATATTATTAGTGGGTGGTTAATAAAATTGAACAAAATAAAAAAAACGGAAAAGAAAAAAAAAAGAAAATTAAAAAGGTACTCACCTGACCCTGAACCACCACGGTCGACCACGGTCGGTTAACTAACGCGAGGCAGAATGTTACGCTCTCACCGCGGTCGCGGTGAACTGCCAAACATCGAGACAGAATCCTCGCCTCTCACCGTGGTCCTGCCGCGGTTCCCTCGCGGTCGCGGTGGTTTGCCCAGTTTTTTTTTTAGGAGGTTAAGAGGGGAGCAGTAACAACAACATTCGTGGGTTGCCTCCCACGCAGCGCCTGATTTAACATCGCGGCACGACGCAGATAAGCGCATTTATGGTTCGCTCGACCTCTGAGGTTCCGTCAGATTGATCTCTGTCACTTCTTTTGGTACACTCACACCTACATATAGCTTCAATCGCTGCCCATTGACTCTAAATGTGCGAGAGTCTTTTTTCGCGGCAATTTCCACAGCCCCTGAAGGGAATACTTCAACCACTCGAAATGGACCAGACCATCGTGACTTAAGCTTACCAGGGAACAACCGTAATCGTGAGTTGTAGAGCAATACCATGTCCCCGAGTTTGAAATGTCGCTCAACAATGTTCTGGTTGTGCAACCTCTTCATTCTTTCCTTGTACAATCTTGTGCTCTCAAAAGCAAGATGTCTGAACTCGTCAAGCTCATGCAATTCAGCGATTCTCGTTGTGCCCGCAACCTCAATGTCTAGGTTCAACTGTTTCAGTGCCCACCAAGCTTTGTGTTCAAGTTCTACTAACAAGTGGCAACCCTTCCCAAACACCAACTTATATGGCAACATACCAATTGGTGTTTTAAAAGCAGTTCTATAAGCCCAGAGTGCATCATCTAGCTTTTTCCCCCAATCAGTTCTTGTGGCGTTTACAGTTTTGGTCAATACACTCTTCATCTCTGTTAGATACTTCTACCTGTCCACTTGTCTGCGGATGATACGGTGTTGCCACCCTGTGACGCACATCATACTTTGCTAGCAACTTCTCAAAAGCTCGATTACAGAAGTGGGTGCCTCCGTCACTGATTATAGCTCTTGGTGTCCCAAAACGGGTGAATATGTTCTTCTTCAAAAACCCCACCACTACTCTTGCATCATTAGTGGGAAGTGCTGCAGCTTCTACCCGTTTGGACACATAGTCTACAGCCATAAGTATGTACTTATTGCCAAAGGAGTTGACGAAGGGACCATGAAGTCAATTCCCCAAACATTAAATACTTCCACCTCTTGAATCGGGTTCATGGGCATCTCATGGCGCTGGGAAATGTTCCCGCTTCGCTGGCATTCATTGCAGCCCTTCACCCATTGGTGCGCATCTTTGAACACTGTTGGCCAAAAGAAACCGGCCTCTAGCACTTTCGCAGCTGTCCTAACTCCTCCAAAATTCCTTCCATACGCTGACGAATGACATGCCTGCAAAACAGAAGATTGTTCTATCTCGGGGACACACCTCCGGATCATATTGTCAACACATATAACAAGTAAGGTTCATCCCAATAATACATGCGGCACTCACGATAAAACTTTTTTTTTTGTACAGAAGAAAGATCATAGGGAACTATACCGCTGTTGACATCCAATTTTGTCCCTCCTTTCTTCCAAACTATTTGCTTAAGCTTCTAATATTACTAATAATATAAAAATACGCATTTTATTATTTTCAACACAAATTGACTTATTTGTTACTATTATTAAAACTATTATTACTATAGTTTTTTATAATTATCGTTGTTGTCATAATAATAATAATAATAATAATAATAATAATAATAATTATTATTATTATTATTATTATTATTATTATTATTAAAATTATGACTATTATTACTACTACTTTTCTTCTTCATATTGTTATTATTGTCACTATCATCATCGTTATCATTATTATTTTTCTAAGTATAATTCTTATTGTCATTTTTTGAAAAAATATAATTTTCCTTTATTTAGGAGAAATAATAACATTTATTTCATCCTACACTTTATAAAAAGTTTACTATAATAATATTATGACATTTCATGTAATAGTTATTTTGTAGTATTTCATAACTATTATATTAAGTTGCCATAAATTATAATTTTGCTAAGGCTTTTTTAAAAAAAAATACTTTAATTAAGTTATGAGAATATTTTTCTATTTAGAAACCCAAAGGAAATTGATTGAAGAAAAACAGGGCCATAAATTCGGCCAATACTAGGCCCCTATGTTTCCTCGTCAATTATATCCTCTCAAGCCCAAAAATGAGCCCAACAAGATCAGCCCCAAAACATAACTAGGTTCTCCCTTTCATTTTTATTTTCTCTTCACAGCCATTACTACCATCTTCCTCACTCCTCTTCTCCCTCTTCCATTTTTATGCAAAGTCAAGCTTTACTTTAGCCAAGGACAAACCTTGCCTCTTCCATTTTTGAGCAAAGAAACTTTCTTTTGATTTTTATGCAGAGAATCACTAGAGGAGAGATTAAAATGGCTCTTTTGGAAGCCCAAGATCGACCCGTGATTCAAAATCAGGAACAAGAACCCTAATTTTCTACTATAAATACTCGCTCTTATCCTCTGCCAAAAAAAGGAGTTCTAGAGCACAAAAAAACACCACAAACAATACTCTATGACTATCAACTGTTGTAACTCTCAAGAATCCAACTTTCGTTGCCTTTTATTTCGTTTCTGCCGGTTTGGAACCAACCAGAGAGGGGAGTAGATCCGAGGCTCACGCCCTAGTTCACTGCGCCGCAGCAAGTCAGTGATTCTGGACCGCAGCAAGTCCTATTATTTGTCTTATTTTTGTGTATAGAAGTTATCGTTTAGGACTTCTTTGAAGTGATAATTTATTCTGGCCGAGTTAATTTAAATGAGAATGACATGTCTTTGATTAATTATTGACATGAATCTGTCTCTTAAAATAAAAAGAACATTGAGAAGACTTAGATAGCATGCTCGCTTAAACTGATTGAGTTGTTAAAGAATGTTAGCACCTCTGTTACTATTTTAAAATTTATCTTCGGCACCATGACTGAAGGAATATGCGATGCTTAAAACGTTGCCTTGTCTTATATTTTGAGAATCGCATAAGTTCAAATATTTAGCCGAAGCCATGAAATTTTCGTTAATCCTTGTGTATTAGTAAGGATCATGTATATAGTTGTCTATCTCTGTAGGCTAGCTTTTGGTGGAAATCTATATACTCCTCTCGACTGTACATGAAAGACCATGATTTAGCTACTGTCTATATTAGAAAGCATGTTCTAAGGTTCTCTTATTATGAGATTGTAGAAATCATGTCCATTGGTATACCATCTTTTATAATTAATTGTTAGAGTAGAACGGCTAATGTGGAGAACCTTTCATATCACCATCCATGAAATACACCTGTAACTAGAGAAATAATCTATTAGCTAGTATAACTTTTAGAAAATGCCACCTCTAGGCTTAAGTCCATAGCTTCAGTTTCTTGCTCAGAACTTAGCAACTAGTCTAACTTTTAGCAATGACCTTATCCGGATAGCTATAGTGTATTTGTAGTAGTATATCATTCTGTGATTAGGACAACATTCTCTGTATCTTGGTACATACTCTTTGTCTATTTTCTTCTTCTAGCAAGAATGTGTCTTCTCCTTCTAACCTTTCTTATTTTCCTTTCTTTACATGTACACTCTAGAGCAAATGGAGTCTTAATTCAAGACTCTCGCTGTGGAGTCTCATAGAGACTCAACCCTACCACCACCACATGAAGTCATTGCATACCATCTTCCTTAGAGCAACAGGAGCATCTGATAGCGAGATAAAACGAGCGAAACGCTTGGGGACGCCTTTATTCATGCTATTTGACATTTACTTGTGTGATTTAAGTTTATCTTCGATTGTTAAAATTATATGTTAAAATTCGTGTTAGCATAGTATGTTTACTCTTATTGTCAATTTGGTACTGTCTTGATCACATAAATGTAGCCTTTAGATATAGGAACTTAGAAACATTTTTGTTAAAATGAGCCTTCCAAAAACATTTTGGTCAAAACTTTTTCTAATCTCGATGATAAGCATAAGATGTTTTTCCTAAGAACACATGTTAAAACTTTCTTTCCTTTAACAATATCTAACGTAGTAATTTTTTTTTTTAAATCTTTCTCTTTTAGGAATGTCTTAAATTGTTGGTTTCATCAAATCAAAACTGGTTTCTTAAACCCATTAGATCCTTAAACGGCTTAGATATTTTTCTTAACTTTGTTTATCTAAGTTAAAAATAAGTCAGCCGATATCAATTACTACATTATTTTTTACTTAATTATAATTCGTCACCTAGTTGGCCTATATTTAGTACTTTAACACTTAGAAGACATAAAAATTTAGCCTACTTTTAATTGTGTTTTAATCTTATAGTACTAATTGTGAGCACGTGATTTTTGCCCTATATGAATTACTCCCAGAAATTCAAACAAAAATGTTTTCTTTCATTATTTTACAATTTTGTGGATTTTTGTGACATTTTGTGTTAATTGTTTACATTTTTGTTTGCTCATTTTGATTAATGGAAAATATAAAAAAAAATACTTGATATTTGCATTTAGGGTTTAATTTCCTATTTTAAGATTAATTAGGTTACTTTATAAAGAAGAAAATAACAAAAAATGGTTCTTTTTGCATTTACACTTTTAATTGTCTTAGTTTGTATTTAAATTAGGAATTAGTGTATTTGGGAATTGAATAATAGTTCTAGAAGTCAATTTGGATTTTTATTTGTTGATTTGGCATTTAAAAAAATCAGAAAATAAATAAAATAAATATACACAAAAGAAATAAAAGAAAAACAATTAAAAGAAGGTTGTTTAATAAAGACTCGAATTGGGGCATTTGTAACCAATTTCCCTAGCCCAATTCGTGTAATCCACTCCCAGACCAGGCCCGATTCCTTTTCCCATCCGGTCCGCCCCGTTATTTAATAGAACGACGCCGTATAATCGAGTTTCAATCCAAGCCGTCGATGTTGATTAATCAGACGGTCCAGAAGCCCACCCCCATTAATATATAAGTGTCCGAACGGGCACCCCACCCCCCTTAGGCCATCGTCTCCCTCACAACCCCCCTCTCTCAAGAACCCTAATGGAGCCGCCCTAATTCCCCACCGCCGTGGATGGCGGCGCCGGTCCCTTTCAGTCCCAAAATTACACCATGAAACCTCCTCAGCCCCCCCGTTCCAAATATTCAAATAATTTCCCTCAAACATCAACCAATCTCTTCGAATCTTAATTCAAAATTTTTCGGCCACAACGCAACTTTCTCCAAATCACCCCAAATTTACACCGTTGAATCCCCTCCGTCTCCTTTTTCCAACGCCCTAAAAATCACCGTTCGAATGTAAGTCCAACCCCTCGAATATTCAAAAATATGGATGCCGCCTCCACCGTGCATGGCACCGCCGCCTCCAAATTACTTCAAACTGATTTTCAGGGCATCCAGTAAGTTCATCTACTTGTTTTCTGGTGATGTTCTCCCTCTATTTCTCTTCTTTTCTAGTTTTTTTTTTTCAATAATTGAGTTTCTGCTCTTTTTCGTGGTATGATAATTGTGATCGGTTTGTGTTAAATTTGTGGTTCAGGCGAATATTGTGTTCATCATGTTGATTTTGTTTTAGGATTTTTTAGACTGTGAGAATTATTAAAGTAGTTCTTCATGATCTTTCTGATTAGTTTAAGTTCTGCCTGATTGCTATTTCGTAATTGATTCTGTTGAGTTTAATTTTGTGTTTTCTGATTCAATTAGTTTTTATTTGGTTTAATCATTTTTTTTATCCTGTTTTGGTGATACTTGAGTGTTGTTTTGATAAGTTTAGTTTTATTAATTAGTTAAGTATATCAGATTGCTTCTGAATTTCATTATTGAAGTTAGAATGGTCTTCCTGCTTTATTAGTGCATTAGATATGGTTGCATTAGGATGTTTGAGTAACTATAATCTATTTTTTAATTGGAATAAAAGACTGAGGGGGTAATTGGTTTAGTTCAAGGGAAGGAATTGTGTGATTGGGAACTCTCCAGGAGTTTATAGTTGGGGTTTAAAGTGGAAATTCAAGGAAAATGAGTAGGATAACTTGACACCTAAGTCAATAACTAAGGGACTAGTTAGATAAAATTGATTTTTAAAAGAGGGACTAAGTGGCAAAGGCTAAAAATCTGATATGGCCTCATATGTGCCTATAAAAGGGCAATGCCCTTGCCTTGAATCACAAGTTTGGGGAGATCTAAAAATTGCCCTCAAAATTCCCCCAAAAATCAGTATTCACTCAACTCTTCAGATCTGAGACAACAATTCAAAAATTCAAAAAGCCAAAAATAATAGAAATTACAAAAATCCAAAGAAAAAATTGTTCTGTTCAAGTTTCTTAGTTTAAATTCAAGTGTTAGAGGTTAATTTGCATTTCCTAGTTCAGTTCTACTAATCGGAAATTTTAGAGGTGTTTCTATCTGAGTTCGGGTAATTTTTGGAGTTCAATCGAGTCAGTTTGGTAATCATTTGGTTGTTGCATTTCAATGGTGTGTTACTGGTTTGGGTGAAGCTATTTTTTGATCAAAATCACTCGTATTTGATGGTTATTGCTGTTGAGACTTGCTGATTGTTCCTTTTAGCTGTTGAATTGCTGCTGACCCTTCCTTCTTCTTCTTATATTTNCTATTTGGTTGAACATTGGTGCTGTGTTTTCACGTTTCGATTCTGGATTGATTCTGATATTGGTTGCTGGGTTGTGAGCTTAGATCTGAACTGCTGTTTTGTCACTTGCTGCTGTTGATTCCTATTTTTCTTCTCCTTGTGACTTAATTCCAGGTACACTGCTGTAGATCTCGAAATTTGGATTGAAATAAAATGCCGCTCGTTTGCTTCTTTGCATTTTTAGCTGGTTCACAATTCTATTGCATCCTCATGTAAAACGATCTAGTTTCATTTAAAAACTGAGATGTGTGATTGTATATTGATATTAGTTTGTAGCTGTTATACTGAAGTTGATTAGGACTGTTCGTAGAGTCAGGACTATTTGGGATTGTAAATAAGGACTGTCTGGACTGTGGACTGTTAAAATAATTTGATTACTTCTTCTGATTGTAGGAGTTTATATCTAGTAGTGTTAGTTTGAATTAGTTTAAAATTCTGAGTTCGAGTTGCCACGTATGAATTCGAAATCAGAGATTTAAAAGTAGAGGTTTGGTTTGAAATAAGGAACTAGTTATGATCTCACTCGTGATTTAAATGGCAGAAATCGTTGTTGAGTATGTGTGATTCGTTAAAGTTAACTATAGGCAATCCATTTTCATTTAGCATCATTGACTATCGAGTTTCAATTTTCGTTATGTGGTCACGTTAATGTTTAGTAAATTCATGAATCAACACTCTAATAGGAATGAGCAAACAGTAGGGATTTGGAAGATTCAACTAGTATGCATCATGTTTGGAATTATGCGTTAGATTATCTAAGTTGTGCTGGAGATGCTAGTGTACTTATGTGTTAAATTCAGTACTACAATAGCCTAAAGTGATATCAATTTCAAATGCAAACTCAGAATTATGAGTTGATGCAAGTATAGAGTTAATTCACAAATTGATTGTCTCCTGCACTGATTGGTTAAACTGGACTGTTATAATTCCTGAAGTCCAAATAATTCCTGCCCAAACTTAACGAGAGATACGTGCTGGTGGGCCAGGCATAAGCCCACAGCGCAGTAAGCCATAGCCAAAAGACAATGAGACCATATTTGGGCCTTCGGGTTAGGTAGCGGGTTCGAACTAAAAGGCTTGCTCTTTTGTTTGAACCCGGACTTGAACTTGAAGCCCGAATTTCATAATATTAAGTAACTAGGATTCTTTAGAGATAAATTTAAATAGAAAATGGTAGTTTGCTCTAGGATGGCCTTTAAATAAAAATGAGATGAGCCTCGCCGAACAAAACATATAAATTGCGGGGCCCTCATTAAATGCTCATATCAAAATACTTAGAATTCGGGGCGTGCCGTTTAGTGAATTTCACGGCCTCCCGCGAAGATAACAACACGCTAGCCACTTTAGGCGCGCTTTTAATAATTTTACCTTCTTAAATACGGGTGTGCATTTCATGCAACCCAAATCCAAATCCCAAAACGTTGAATAAAAATATGTCGAGGATCCGGGTGCATTTCATGTGACGTGATCCGAAAACACGTTCTTAAACGACGTTCACTTTCTTAAAAATTTAATTGAAAGCGGTAAGTGATTTTAAAAATTGCACAATAGGATAACATGTACTAAAATCAGTTTTTTGCCAAATGTAGCGGTTGAGCGACCGTGCTAGAACCACGGAACTCGGGAGTGCCTAACCCCTTCTCCCGGGTTAACAGAATTCCCTACCCGGATTTCTGGTTCGCGACTGTTAAACAGAGTCAAACCCTTTCCTCGATTCGGGATTCAAACCGGTGACTTGGGACACCATAAATCTCCCAAGTGGCGACTCTGAATCTCTTAATAAACGAATCCCGTTTCGATTGTCCTTTAATTGGAAAAAACTCCTATTATTATACCCTTCTCCGGGGTGTAGTAGCGAAAAAAGGAGGTGTGACACTAATTAACCTGAGTTTGGCCGGTAACCGTAGTTAACGGATCGCATAGGGTGCTTTAACAACCTTCCCTATAGGATTAATTAGAACCCTTACCTAAAAATTTCTAAGGTTAAGCAGACCGTAAAACAGAGTTAACTTTAAGCACTACTTAGTTAAAATTGGTATCCTAATTCACCTTTAAATTAATTAGGTGGCGACTCTCATATTAATTAAAACTCGGATTAGCCAATATATTATACTCTAATTTGACCCGTGTTAAAAAGGGGTATAACCACCGCAAGCCAGGTAGTTTGCAAAGTCTGCATACCATGGCACTTCCTCAAGATTGGCCGCGAGCAGTTGCT